GCTGATGACTTTTTCAATCATGAATATGTGTTCCTCAGAAAAGGAACTCTGCCAAACAGTACTGGAATTACCTCAAAGTTTTGGACTTAAAGGTCTGATTCTATGCATGCGATGAAGGTATGTAGGAATTTTTTTGTCAATTTGGTTTGAACGGACCCAAAAAGATAAGCACTCTGCAAAGAATAACCTTCTTGGGCCTAACTGTACGAGAAATGATGTTTGTTTCCTCGAAATAACCGCTTTCAATACAAATGTCGAAGTTTCTAAGGCAATAACGCATCTAACGTCAATGCTTTTACCATAAAAGCTTTTTCAGAAAAATTAATCTTTTGCTTATTTGTGTTTTTGTTAGCCATGCATTCTAGTTATCTTCCAATACCACATTATTGCAAATCTACTTCTTTTCTTTCGCTTTCTTTTCTCTTAATTCTTGTAGAGTGAAACATTGCTACTGAAGAAGCCAAGCGAAAGTTGATTCTTGCTTTATCAATCTTGTACTTTCTTCTGACCAGATCATCATGTCCTTCTTTCTTCCATTTACATATCGGTACTTGTATGCAAGTGTGACCTTTTGAAATTTATATTCTGGATGCACCTAGTTAGTGAGGGAGATATGAATGATTATTGCAAGGAAAACTAGAGAACACTTTGACAAGGAAATGCCACATGAATTCCTTCATATTTACGGTTTATTAGCGTTTCTTTTCTTTTCACGATTTTTTGCGACACAGGTCAAATTCTCTTTCAGGTTATTCATGCGTGTACGAATCCAGCTTCGTCCTGGTTTGAACCATTGTTTTGGCATACTCGTTCCTACATAATGACTGTATCAAACATTAGCGGAACAATGTCAACATGGTAGGTTTATTTGATCTACAATTTGTTACCGAATCGCCAATCCTTCTGCATGTGTGGTTGTTTGGTTGGTTAGTTGCCATGGTTGGCCTAATTGAAAATACTAACAAAGCGCCGCAAGAGGAACTGACTTTACTCGAAAGACCAACCGCAGCATGAGCTTGTTTAAACATGCAAATGGGGGTTGTGTTAGGTACGAGGGCGTGTCCACGTCACCGTTATTTGCATACTATATCATCTGACCGTTGCAGTAGCACTATTTTAGAGTGATTTGAGAAAATGGACCTTGCTCTTAGGAATTTCCGACTGAGTCAAGCCAGAGTGGTTGTCAAGCGTAGTGCACGTGGTTGCATTCTCATCCTTGAAAATGTCGAATGTCTGGCACTCCACGTAAATACAACAAACGATAAGCATTTAATGCGAAGATAGTGTTGTTAATCCAGGGATTTGGTCTCGGATCTGCCTACGCTTCAGTTCTTTGATTAAAAAACACAAAAAGAGAAACCCTTCAAACCCAGCGAAGTGTGAACTGACTCTATATGAAAACAAATGTTCAACCGACATCTCATACAGTTCCCGATGATAAAATCGAAACATTCTCTCACTTGTGATGCAAGGTTTTTTAGAGCTATAATCTCATATTTAAGTAAGAGTCTCAGCTAATATTGCTTGTTAGCCATAATTAGGTACTATTTATGCTTTTTGGGGAGCTGTTTAGATCATCCGTTGTTTTATAACTACCGAGAATCTTACAGTTCCGGATGAAGTGGTCCTGTGGCACCGCTTACATATTATGTACCTGAAACATACTGAATCACCTCTTCGTCATCGTCATTTTCAACAATGTCATTCACAAAGTAACAAAAAGAAAAAATCCAGCCTTCACTGTGGTGCATATAAAAATTAGTGTTGACGTGTTAATACAAAGGATAAAGGAAAACTCAAGATTGCGGAAATTCTGGAAATAAATCACGAAAATGTTGAGTCCATTGAATGATAGTGGCTTTGCTTTCACGGCTCTTCTTTTCAACAATGAAAAATTCTGGATTTTTGATCGAATGTCAGTAGCTGAGTTTTTGTGAATTCTCTTTTGACTCTTCTTTCGTGAGTGCGATCGACAACTTTTCCAAATACAACTAACTTCTTTGCCAGGTTTACCTTGCGATCTTATACTTTTTATCATAAGAGGATAGTTGCAGAAATACTAAAACGCCTTTTTCGGAAATTAATTCTAGAACTGCAGGACTCATTCCACATTCAGCTCTCTCGAATCTTTTCTACCAAATGTTATGTGGTAGGAGGATCTGTTGTTGGCAATCTAGAAGAAGTTCTGCAAAACTGATGGTTACAATTACACGGCGGGCGCCTCAGTACGCCCTCGTCCGAAAAAATTCTAAACCGAAAGCTTTTGGGCTAACTAGAGCTGATATCCTTCAAATACAGAATAACACCAGGAGGAGATTGTTGTTGTTTTGTACTCACAAGGATTTTCCTGGATTCTCTTTTGCAGGAGGCGAGCCATATTTTTGAAGCAAACGTCAAAGCCGGCATTTAAATTGTGCAAAATATGATATAATAACTTGCAAAATTCTGGGTTAGTATAAATTCAGTCATACATCTGGTACCAAGTAACTTGAAAATTAACTTAGAAGCTAATAAGGTACCACGGAAAACGATTTTCCTCTGAAATTCTATGAAAAATCTGAGCAAAACCAAAACTGCCCTTTTTTCACTTGAGGAGATAAATTGGGTGTAATTTCAGGTTAACATTGATGGTTACGGTAGAAACAGTTATGTGCGTACTCATGCCATTCTTATTTCGACAGTACTGCACAAAAAGGTATGTCGCTGGCAATTTGTTGATCTTTGTTACACAAGGACTGACTTCAGGACCACATGGTCCTTTCTGCTCGCATCACTCACGGTAGCGACGCTGCTGCATTCAACATTGGTATTCACAACGGAGATAACAACACATCCATTAGCTATTGTTCAGCATAATTTGCCTCAGGTGAGGAACAATGTGCGCATGCTACGTGTCAGGGCTTCCGAACATTCCCTTGAGTAAAAAAGAACAAAGTGACGTGATGAAAATCCGTACTTAAAGATTCATTAAAACTGGTTTCATTCTGCTCACTTTGGAAATGCATACATAAGTTGAATTCCGTCAACTCGCAGTCGAGGGGGTTGTTTAGCGCTCGTTGTTGAAAGTGGAAGGAAGCCGGCCAAGAAGTTTGAGCTAACTCTATTTAGAGGAACAAAGCATAATCACGTAGCAACGTAGCAAATATAATTGTAGAGTATGAGCAAAGGTGGAAAAATAGCAGTCTTTACGATAATGGCTCAGGACCTATTGCACTCAAGTTTCAGTGAACTTTTCAAATAAGATTTACTATGGCAGAAAGTCCGTAATCAATCTGAATTACTCACTAGCTTCACATATACATCGGGAAAAGTTTGATTCAAGCTTATAGGATTTTATTAACGATTCGTCACTGACATGAATCTTCTTTCTACTTCAGCAAGCGTGCAGTGATGCGAGACAGATTATGGTCAAATCCAATTAGAAGGATTCTATTTCAGAGCAACTCATCTTGCTGGTACATTCGAAGCATGCATTTGTTCATAATGCGAAGCAGTAGCGTCTATGAAGTGATACAAAAAGTCTACTATTGGATTCAGACGACCGTTGCAATAATTATTCCTACAGTAGCTATGCTCATTTGTTCGATTCTCATTGTCAAGCAGTTCACATTCAAGGTACATCTTACATTATACTATGTTAGCACTTTCCAAAAGCGGCGGAGTTCCTTCCGCATCCTCAAGTCATATCACGTGCTTCTTCTACGGTGCTTTGCATTCAGCGCAATTATGATGCGTACTCTCAAGCCGCCACGTAATAACCTGGAACTTTGCGCTAATTTGACGTAGATTAATAAGCGGAGCGCATTATTTGCATTGGGTCTATGCTTTCGCTATCAAATAGCACATGTGAACGCTGCAACTGCAAAGTACTCGACGCTACACAAAAATGAAAACTCATGAAGAAAACAAATACAAGCAGTGTTGACGAATGAATTCAAGGAGCTTGGTGAGGCGTTCTCGCAAAGACGGAAGTGCGTGATTCGTATGACCGTTGCCACTACTGTCTCTCATCTTCTGTTGGAGGGTCCGGCCACATTGACACATGCAGCCGTGGCACTGAAGGTATGGAGTATTGTCGTGGATTTCATAAAAATTACCTAAATTTTGGCAAAGCGTTCCGCAGGGTCGCTAACCTTGTTTTTTATAAATTTCAAAACCGCCGCTAAGATCTTTCATGGTCTCCGGCATACGCCAAAAGTCTATGAGCTCTCTATTAAGGG